TCAATAATTACAGAAACTGCTTAATTATCTAACTTTATGAACTACTAGTAATTGCAATCACTACAACTTTCTATAATCTACCCAAGAGATGGAATCAAAATAGGTGTACAGTATATTCCGTCGGGTAACTGAAATTTGAGAGTATGGGACAACATCTGTATTCCGAATCAAAAGAGGCCATCTCACGTAGTGGTGTAACGATTCATCGATAGTATTGATGTTTGCATAGTCAACTATGCGATACGAATGCATCAATACAAAACACATTTAGACAATACATCAGGATATTAATATCGCAAGGGTCCGTGATACATCGATGTATCTCCACAAGAGACGATATATCCCGATACTGCTTAAGTACTACTGAAAGTATTTTAGGAATAGGAAGGGAGTCTCTTTGAAATTCTTCTGAAGTGAACCTTGTACTGTGAGATGAACTTAAGAATAATGCCGACCTGTCATTTGAACGCATTTACCAGGCGCGTTGCAAGCCAATTTTTTCGTGTAAGCCCGATAGGTTGCAAAGCTGTATATTTAGTTAGTGTTGAGGCCTTGCCCAACTTTCATTTTCAAAATCATGTCTAAGCCCGGGGCTATTTTCATGGTGATAATTTCAAAAACCCAAATCAATCTATTGGGCATTGGGCTAAAAATGGAATTTGAACAATTAAGGGCCTTTGTAATGAAGAAAGTTTTATGTCTTTTGAAGATCTGAAACTCAAATTTGATATTGGAGGAACATATATGTTTTTGTAATGTTGATAGTGAAACTTTATGTCATGTATATTGGGAATATGTTGTAACCCAAACTTTCTGGAATAAAAACTTGAAAACTGGATAATCCAAAACAAACAGAAATTTGAAATAAGAAGAGACTTTGGTTTGGTTTGGTTTTGGTAATAAGCCATTGCTAAATCATATAATCTTTTCTGCTAAAAGTCATATGTATACTTGAAATTTAAAGAAAATAATTCCAAAAGTTAATAATGTCTTAAAATTTTTGAAAGACACTTATACTGTTGAAAAGGTCATATCCAGAAGGAACAATAATTTTGATAATTTTCAGATAAATGGTTTCCTTTATCCTCAGTTTTCAATCTCTGACTTAATCTGTAATCAAACTTGAATAACTTTATTGCATTATAATTTCTTCATGCTACCAGTTGATGAACTTTGATCATGCATATTTACACTTTTTGCTTTACTCTATATACTTGTATTCAATCATGGGAACAAATGAAAAAAAATGATCACTAAGAGTTTAAGGTAGCTGGTCACGTGATCATTATCGTATTCTAGTTTTAGACCATCACACCGATTACAAATGAGATATTCTTCAAGATCATTGAGGTTAACAGCTGTGTTTGTTCAAACATGCCATAGAAAGTCAAGTGAGTGTATGAGTGTGTTTTTTCCAACACGATGGCGGACATACATACATACCATTGCAACCGCTTCACAATATATTATATGCACAAATATTCTACATACACAATGAATTTTAGTAGAGTGGGTCGTTTATGTTTCCGTAGTTCCACCAGAAGACATTTTGGATAATAAATATCACACTTTTGATATAATCATACACAATTAAGGGTTTCGCCATATATTCTTACAAACTTAGCTGCAAATACCTGCAATACTGCTGACTCACCTTTAAGCAATATTTACGTATTCACTCACTAAGTCTTTTGTCACTCCAGATGTTTTGTATGCATGCGTTGGTTATGTACAGCAAAGTATACCATATATACAGCTTAGTATTTCTAAGTAACCCACCTTCTTCACACTTTGGTGTGAAAGGTGTCAGTTGAGTTTACACAGGACCCTTTGTGTGCCCTGTTGATACTATTTACATTTATATGGTCCTGCTTGCAGGTGCAATATAGCAATTATGTCACTGCATGCACCATACATTACCGATTTCCATATTGCATAAATTCCTACACTGAGCACTCACCATCTTAACTTGACAACGACTGGTAAACATCTTTTGTCTTCAATGAATAACCTGTAAACACCATTCGACAGCTTAACTACTGTACCTGTGACAAACAAATGTACTATGTGAACACCGAGAGGAGAGACCAAGGTTCACAATCGTCATGTGGAGGCACCTTTAGGACAATTGTTCATGTAGCTATGAGAAGTACCGCAACCTTGAATATTACTTTGCTCTTTGTCCAGCAAATGTATACCAGTTCAGGTATAAAAAGAGGGGTATGGTCTTACAACAGCACGTAGCTCTTTTGATTCCAGCAGCGAGGTTCTGACTTGGTTTCTGTTAAACCCGGCAAAGCCATAACATACCATAACAATGATTAACAGTTCACAGAGGTGTCATAGCTCAGTACAGTTATCATTGAGGCACACAGACCAAAATTATGTTCAACACGACCCCTATGAAACTACGTCAGTGTTAAGTATCATGTGCACACATCGCACGTTGATAATGTTTTTCAAACTAACGCATCGAAGTGTTCAAACTAATACATCGAAGTGTTCAAGCTAATACATCGAAGTGTTCAAACTAATACATCGAAGTGTCCAAACTAATACATCGAAGTGTTCAAACTAATACATCGAAGTGTTCAAGCTAATACATCGAAGTGTCTAAACTAATACATCAAAGTGTTCAAAATAATTCATCGAAGTGTTCAAACTAATACATCGAAGTGTAAAGAAAGGAAAGAGAAAAAGAAAGAAAGAAAAATTATCATTTTTCGTGTAAGCCCGATAGGTTGCAAAGCTTTATATACTAGGCACATGAAGAAACTGTGCATACAAAACTTTAAAATCTAAATTTATCAAACCTATGTAGACACATAAGGATTTAAACTCAGAGATTAGTGACATGTATCCAACATGCATGCACGTGCCACGTTCCGTGATATCAGTGGCTACGTCCTTGAGACGTGCAGGACGTTGTTGCACGTGCATTCCGGGAAAGAGAAACAGAGCAAATGAATGCCATACAATACTGTCACTTTGGAAAGCTCAACCCCTGCCCTTGCGATCGTTCAGAAAGTTATACGGCTATAGAAACGCATAGCATGCCAAGGCTCACGTCTGCACAACGTCATGAGGCCATTGGGGTGGTCCTGTGGGGAAATGTCTCAACGACAAGTGGCTGCACATTTCCACAGCCACCGGAACACCATTTCTGCACTGATGAGACGCTACCAGAACACAAATGACGTCATCGATCGGCCACATTCTGGACGTCCACGTGTAACAACGCCAAGACAGGACAGATGGATAAGGGTGACCCATCTTCGCCACAGGTTACAGACTGCAGTGATGACTGCCGGAACATCCCAGCACTTCGCCGTATCCTCCCCAACACAGTTTGACAACGTTTACGTCATCACGGGATCAGAACACGACGTCCCGCCATACGGCCTATCCTGACACAACGTCATCGACAAGCTCGCCGAATGTGGTGCCGAAATCATGTCCGCAGACCCTTGTTTTGGTGTAGAAATGTTGTTTTTACAGATGAGTCCAGGTTTAACATTTCCCATAGTGATGGACGTCAACGTGCCTATAGACGCGTGGGAGAACGTTATGCACAGGTCTGTGTCTTGCAGAGGAATCGCTTTGGTGGTTGTTCCGTGATGATTTGGGGTGGAATAACAGCATGCCAAAGAACTCCCCTTAGTAATCATTCAGGGCAACTTAACTGGTGTGGGCTACAGGGATCAAATTCTTCGACCTGTGGCGATTCCTTTTCTGCGACGTCATGGCCCTGGGTTAACATTCCAACAGGACAATGCCCGCCCTCATACGGCAAGGGTTGCTATGGATTCCTTGCAACACCACAACGTTGACTTACTGCCTTGGTCTGAAAATTCACCGGATCTCTCCCCGATAGAACATGTTTGGGACGAGATGGATCTACGTCTACGCCGTCTTCCTCATCCGCCAGATAACGTCCTTGCTCTTGCAACAATTCCTTGAGAGAATCTGGCGTGACATCCCACAAACCTTCCTTGCACGTTTGATAGGCTCTATGCGTCGTTGATGCACTGCTGTTCTCAATGTCGATGGTGGACATACCCGTTATTGAGCTTGTGACATGGTCGTTTGACCCCGGTCCCGCTTGTGGACTCGTGACGTCATTGTGATTGACTTTTCAGTTGAAATTCTCCCAACTTGTTATGGTCTCATGATCCCTCCATTACAGTTTATATGTACCTTTGACATTGTTATCGTACTTATCAACTGGGATAATATTTTGACAATGCACAGTTTCTTTATGTGCCTAGTATATAATGTAATTTCCAAAGCAAAAAGTATAAACGGTATTACCTACTGATCAGAAAGGCTTATCAGTACCCCACCGCCACCACCCCACCCTAGGCCAACCCAATCACTCATACTCTCCCTCTCACACACATGCACACACACACTCCCTAACATGCATATCGCTCTGGCCCATAGACCCAATATTGTAACCTTTTAAACAGACATCATGTGTATGTCAAGAAAGGCAGGCACGTTAATAGTGGTGCTCAGTCATGGGTATCACTTCGCCACGTGGTTCTAATGATCTCCGTGCATTATGGCGTGGTCCGACGCTGTAACGAGCCCGATGTGACAGTTATATTACAGAACCATTGAAATACATGTTAAAGTAGTGTTAATCTGGTAACACTATATTTACCCATTACCAACCATTTACGCGTGTACTAAATATATTACAAACCTAACCCTGGTCACACGAGATTTCAAAGGTAATGAAATGCATGTCCTACAATCACAGCATTTACATACGTTACACATGCTAGAAAACACATGAAAACAATGGCCAGATTTACATACCTGTGAAATACAAGTAAATGTAGAGTTGAATGTTCGTTTATTTTAACACTTTAAACGTGTGTAAATCTGTCAGCCAGATGATACGTAGATTTCAAGCGTTGTTCATATGGCCGCCGGATGCAACATATATTCCCTAATGTTAGTAAATTTGGGTAATACAGTCATTTTGTGTGGTGCACAAAACAACTTTATCTTAAACACAAGCCATCATTCAGGTATCACTGTCCATGCTGCGCAACACACCTCATAGGGTGAGTAAGCACTGCCGTCTGAAAACGTATGATACCCCCAAAAATAATTCGATAAAATTAAATGTTTACTCATACTAACTTATGTTGCAATTATCATCGAGTCTACACATGTATTTCCAAGCACATACAGATTCTTGATATCTCTTTATCCTCTTCGTTTTCTGATAACTGTATTGCAGATTGTAAGCTGCACATATTTAATCCACCGAAACACAAAATGATTTATCCTAAATCTTTACTTAAAAAGTTAAACCATGTTCTCATTGTACTCTTGAGCTCCATTTGATCACAACGAAGACCAGAATAATCTATTCCTTCTATGATCAAACTTGTTTTCAACATGACTTTATAATTGTCCTGTCATGCCTTATCGTGTAACACATTCAGAATAGACACAAAAAGATCACTGTGAACATTTTTCATTTCAGCTTGATCCTGTGGTAAGTCATCACTGGCAATTAATACAACCTGCAGCTGTATTACTGAAACTCATATGAGATATCCCACAGTTGTACTTATCCAACAAATATCCCATGTTTTCTGCCTCTTGAGCACTACGAACGGAGACGTGAAAACACCATCTGTTCTGTAATCCAATGTGTGTTCAACGAAATAGCATAATGTTCGAAATGCCTGTCGAGATACATTGGCGGATAACACACTTCTATGGAGGGGCAAACTGCCCCATTATCCCAACACATGATATTTCGGAATGTGAAAATACAGTCGTTTTCCTATACATTTCCCTTAACTGAATTTTCTTTACGCTTTGGACTCTTCACATCATTCTTCTTTTCAGGGACAATCTTCTTGTCTATTCCTTTTGCATGTAGCTCCACCACTTGAGAGGACAACTTCGTTCCTTCGACGAGCCCTTTCGTTGTCAGCTTGATCGCATAGTTGTTGTACTCTCTCCCGTTCAACATAATTGTCTCCCTCACAAAGTCCACTTTCCTATCCGGATCCTTCTCCTCCTTATACTTGTGAAAAATGTGTCTTAGATCCTGAATCTTCCACGACATCATTACCTTCTTGTCCTTCTTCCTTCTTATGTACACTGGAGCTTTGCCTGATGGCATTCTCATGGTGGTCTCAACTGTGAACCTGTAGGACATTTCTTTCTCCGTGAAGATAACTTTGGCCTCACAATTAGTGTTTTCTTTAACTTTGATTTCACAACTTGTTTCAAAAGTCAAGACTTCCTCAAATGTCTGTTCAGTTGTTTTTGTGACCTCAAGCTTTGCTTCAAGTCCACAATCGACACCACAAACAGAGAAATTAGCAGTGCCGCCGATTGTAAATCCTTTCTGGAAGGTCACTGATACACTTGCTTTTCTGGCACGTTCCATTCTGAAGTTGTAAACTTGTTCCATGTCTGTGTCATTATGATAGTCAGTGGCGAGTATGGATGTGTTGGGCATACCTTCTCCAATCTCTGGTGCTGTTTTAGAATCGCTCTTGATATTCAAGCCTTCCAGCACTGCATCCGAATGTGAAAATTGGTAATAGTTCATTGGGACGTCAATAACAAAGTCCTTTCGTCTGATGAAACACCTTCTAAAATATCCTATGTCTTTAATGAAGGTATCCCATGCCCAATCTTGTATAATCCCTTGAACATCGATAATTGAAGAGATGTCTCCGACTTTTGAATCACCTCCACAGACCATGGTGAGAAGAGCTGCAAGTATATGTGTTTTTTAAAATGTTGTAGGGGTCAGGTGAAGTGGTGTTAAACGTAACGTTCAGGTTTTACAATAATGATAAATTTTATGGATAACAATAATAATAATAATATTTAATAAGGCCATTTATATGGCGATCAACTCCACCCCGCATGGGCATGTTCTAAGTATCTACAACATATAGACTTCTTGAACGCTATGTGCGTAACACAAACATACCAACAATGACGGTGTAATATTAGGCTCCCCTGTCACGTTCAGTTGAGCAGCAGGCAGATCGTGTAGCCCTTCATGGACACCACAGCAATGCGTTGACACAACAGCTGTAACCAGGTAAACAAAACGTATTTCAACAGTTACCTTCTATACCACGCTAAGCAACCGCCATGAATTTGAACTGACGTTGACAAAACACATAAAGCACGCCGTTCATTGTTGACATAAGTGTATGCAATTGCACTCCTAGCTTTTCTCCTGGCGATAATAGGCAAACATTACTGTTAACGAGCAAATCATTTCTGACTCTCTCAACGTTAGTAAAGAATAGTATAATGCATCGGGTGACGAATTCGCCAGGTTTGACTGGGTTCGTTACCAGTTACTGATGCTAGTATCATGTTGGAGCAAACCCAAAGGTCGGTGTTGTTGCCTCAGATTGCCAAGAGTGGTAATATCACTCAACGATGTCAAAAAAATAAGTCTGGATCAGCAACACCACTGATTCGAAGTATGATCCTACGTCACCGGACCTGACGCACTCATCTTCTTTACTCGACCTTGCGATAAGCAAGGTAAAAGACCACGTCACAGTATTTGGCGATCTCATCCTCTGAAGTTGACCTTGAGTCTGGCAGGGTATACCCGGACCTACTCTTACCTGGACTACCCAGGGTAATACTTCTTGGGTGAAAGCCAGGCGCAAGGATATGATTGTGATATAAACAAGAATCATCAACAGGGCGAACTTTGCAATGCAAACGTGTTTACAATTTACATCACCTGGTTTCCCCTTAAGATCAGGCTCTGGAATTTCGAAGCTCTCTTAGCGCTAAGATAGTCGTAAGCTAGTGTTAAAGTATGTCACGTACGACTATCTTAATGCTGTGAGAGGTTCGAAAATCTGAGCCCTCGTTTAGAATTTGTCTTCAGTAGTATGTTAGGCGACTAACGGGATCGGGATTTTAGGCTTGGTAACTTGGTTGATACTCGTCATTGTATACCAGTTGCATAGATCAGTGCTCATATATCAATCACTGGATTGTCTTGTCCAGAGTCTATTGTTTACAGGCGTGTAGCCTGAGTATTACACGGATCTGTGCTCATATATCAATCACTGGATTGTCTTGTCCAGAGTCTATTGTTTACAGGCGTGTAGCCTGGGTATTACACGGATCTGTGCTCATATATCAATCACTGGATTGTCTTGTCCAGAATCTATTGTTTACAGGCGTGTAACCTGGGCATTACACGGATCAGTGCTCATGATGTAAGTCATTGAGTTGTCCGGACTAGGTTCGATTTAAATGATTGAGTGAGTGAGTTATTATTTAACGTCACATCGGCAATATTTCAGCCATATCGTGACGAGAACATATGTGACATTGAAATGGAATAGATGTATATTATAAAAACCTGTCGACGAAGGACAGTAAAACAACTAGAATATCACAATTACAACTAAAACTAGTGTGGAAAATTAAAACTAATAACTCTAATTGGACAATACAATATAAAAACTGGCTATAGATCGCCAACAACTGAAGGTAGATCACCAAACTAGGGACGGTTCGATTTAAAGACAACCGTCGAATGCGGCGTTAAGCAACAAATATAACAGCGTTTGTCACTTTACCTCCGTCTACCCAAAGCCACCTTGTTCTAGACTATTGGCGAAACACCCATAACAAACGTAATGTATATACAACTTTGTGCAATGAGTATACGACTTATTTACAGAAATATGCCAAGTTGTTACCTTTTTACCTGTATCACAGGGGTTGTGGTTCACACTACCTGGTTCTTCCCAACTGTCTTGTGACCGACAGTGTTTAGGCTTGCGTTGAAACTCATATCCGCCATTAGTAATATGCCACCGCTTATCGCGTGTGCCGTCGTAACAAAGCGATCACAACGGTATAATATTCTTGGTCGCTTTGACACTGGCTGTGTACTTAAACAGGATCTATTTTCAGTGATTGGTCTGTGGTAGTCTCTTCTGTGAATGAAACTGAGACGTTGGCTTTGTGTCAAGAAGGCTATCAGATTACATACCGGGTGGATATAGAATAGAAATAACTGTTGTTTGAGAAGCTTCAATCAAGCTGGAGGTGATTGTAGTTCCCATTTAATGGTGCTAGCAGTGAGTGAGTGAGTGGGTGAGTTTAGTTTTACGCCGCACTCAACAATATTCCAGCTATATGGTCTGTAAATAATCGGATCTGGACCAGAAAATCCAGGGATCAACAGCATGAGCATCGAACTACGCATTTGGGATACGATGACATGTGTCAACCAATTCAACGAGCCTGACCACCCGATCCCGTTAGTCGCCTCTTACGACAAGCATGGGTTACTGAAGATCAAGCGTTGTGTCACTTACATAACATAACTTTTGTTACGACGTCTTCATTGAAATGTGACAATTCATTATTCCATTACATACTCATAGACACAAATAAGGGAACACATGAAAGTACAAGTGTTCCTTTATTTATTTCCTGAATTTCACTCACAGTGCAATCAATACATGAAAAAAACCTGGAAAAGAATAAAGGAATATAGTATAGTAAAGAACACAATAATTTAAATATGTTTGACTGACATGCTTAATTGAAAGCTCAAGTTACTATTTACACATACGTTACACAAAACGTACTACGTATGTTTGCGAATAACTACAAAAGGGAGTTGCATGTCTGTTTAATCTCTCGCTAAAGTAACAACATTTAGGTTGAGAAGTGGAGTTTAACTTCGCGCGCGTGTGTGTACGTTGTCAGTAAGAATGGAAATTACGTTACTGTGACTTCGGTATATCTACGGGATGGCAATCATGTAATATAACAGGTAAATAATGCACTACGGTCTTGTTTCTGCAGAAATTAGGAAATAATGTCACTCTGTTCTTATGATTTTCAGGAAAAAGAAGTTTACGTCGCATCAACGTTAACGTTTCAGAAACGATGACAAATAACGTTTTGTAATAGTCGACTTTTTGACAACGTATATAAAATTACTTATATGCCGTAACGTTGTGAAATAACGTTATAAAATGACGTACTACTAACAACGTGACAGGGTTGTGTCATGACGTTACCAATCTACAACCTTCCCACAACGTTGTGAAATAACGTTATAAAATGACGTACTACTAACAACGTGACAGGGTTGTGTCATGACGTTACCAATCTACAACCTTCCCACAACGTTGTGAAATAACGTTATAAAATGACGTACTACTAACAAGCGTGACAGGGCTGTGTCATGACGTTACCAATCTACAACCTTCCCACAACGTTGTGAAATAACGTTATAAAATGACGTACTACTAACAGCGTGACAGGGTTGTGTCATGACGTTACCAATCTACAACCTTCCCACAACGTTGTGAAATAACGTTATAAAATGACGTACTACTAACAGCGTGACAGGGCTGTGTCATGACGTTACCAATCTACAACCTTCCCACAACGTTGTGAAATAACGTTATAAAATGACGTACTACTAACAGCGTGACAGGGCTGTGTCATGACGTTACCAATCTACAACCTTCCCACAACGTTGTGGCTGGTGAGTCAGTATTGAGTGATTAGAATTTGGTGAGTCAAAATTGAAACATACAACTTCATGGATAACAACAGTTTACTTCTTGTTTGTTGCATAGGGGGACGTTTCGATGAGGATTCTTACATCGCTATCAAGTTTAAAGTTCTAGTTATGCAATAAACAAGAAGTTGTCTTCCATAAAGTTGTGATTCATATTGGCTGATGGCAAATAGAGCAATCTGTTGACTCAATTACACACAAATTGTACCCGGAACAGATTGGCCAACCCATGCCTTAATATATTTTCATGTCATGTTCTTAGTTACAAATGTCATTGTTTATCTATTCACATGCGAAAACGTTGTATGCCAGCTGGGATGTGCACTGGGTGTGCGAGATGGGATTTGTACCCCTTTGTACAGTATTTCTGTCTTACCAGTGCTTGTCAGCGTATTGTGGGGGGAAAGGCCAAAGGGATGATAATCACTTTTTTGGTGCTACGATTTTGGAATCTCGAACCCTCTCTCACAGGTGATGATAAACAGCTGTGCACGCTTAGAATTTTGGTGTCTGGTTGGTGACTTTGAAATATGCCTCTATCCCAAATTGGTATATGGGTACCCGGTAGGATGAATGTTAATATGACTGTTGACCTCCTAATGCCTGTAACTAAGGTGTATACACCTCAGGGATATGAAAACAAAAATAGAAGACTGACCGGGATTACAAAGTGCGCACAAGGATACTTCTATTTCATTTTGAACCGCGAAGGTCCGGGTTAGAATATAAACCCATGCTTGTCGTAAGAGGCGACTAACGGGATCGGGTGGTCAGGCTCGCTGACTTGGTTGACACATGGCATCGGTTACCAAATGCACAGAACGATGCTCATGCTGTTGATCACTGGGTTGTCTGGTCCAGACTCGATTATTTACAGACCGCCGCCATATAGCTGGAATATTGTTGAGTGCGGCGTAAAACTAAACTCACTCACACTCACTCTATTTCAGTTTAACTCAATGTGTCACGATATGCTCAGTGTGTTATCGTTCTCAGCAAAATACTTTATGTCCGCTTGACGTGCATGCGGCTACAGCAAACAAAGGGTTATAAATCCACACGTGTAGAGTTTTTGACAGGCATCTTCAGAATTGGGTAATGACACAGTAACAAGTGTGTGGATGACAACTTCTGTATGACGAAGTTTCGGTATTGATCTTCATACCGTTATCGGGCGGTGGGGTAGCCTAGTGGTTAAAGCGTTGGCTCGCCATGCCGAAGACCCGGGTTCGAATCTCCACATGGGTACAATGTGTGAAGCCCATTTCTGGTGTCCCCCGCCGTGATGTTGCTGGAATATTGCTAAAAGCGGCGTAAAACCAAACTCAGTCAGTCAGTCATACCGTTATCACACATATACGGCATAAGGATCTATAGCGAATCTTAGATATTTAAGAAGGTTTAATCCAAACTCAGCGTTGGGGTCGCCTCGTGGTTAAAGCGGTTGACTTAGAGATGAATAAAATTAAAATAACGTCATGTAGTTTTCTGTTATGTATAATGGACGTTTTCACTGGGCTCAGAGGCTGTTTTCTCAAGCAGCGGTGGTCGTTTTATCGTAAAGGTTGCCTTTTTCACTATTTATTTATTTTTTAATTTTTATTTATTTTATTTATTTATTTAATTTTTAAAATATTTTTTTAATATTTCTTTTTATTTTTATTTATTTTATTTATTTTTTTGGGGGGGGCGTCGTTTTCGCTGGGGTCCGTTTTAACTATAACCCTTATCAATTGCCTTGAGATCGGATCTGAAGTGTGATATCTATTAAAAAAAACAGCTAAAAGACTGATAGGGTTAAGCGGAATTTTAGAACCATGTTATCTTGCATTCATTATGATCTTATAATACACAGAACGTACACACAGCACATACCAGTGTTGATGTACCGCGCATGTGACGAGAACGTGATTCTTCAAGGTCGAGCATTGTCAAATATAACCATCCATTGGGCATGACGATAAACACATTTTCCACATCCGGTCTCTTTGAAAAATACACTGATCTACTAAAATATCTTCTTTTGTATGTAAGATGAGGTATAACATTGTATAAAATGTCTGATAAGAATCACACATAGTTGAAAATTGTTAACAAAGTTTACATTACTTTGCTAAAATAATCGCCCAAGAAGTGTTCCCGGTGTATGTTATTTTTCATTAGCCCGTATCTGCTTGTTTTCTTTGGAAAGCTGACCTATAAAGAGACAGACATACTGTCTGGTCGCCAGGGAGCGTGCAAGCCGTGGCGTCAAATCACACCTTCACACCTTCAAAACAGGTACAGTAGAGAGGAAACGTTTGGTTGTCTGTGCCTTACTCGGATGAGATGTTTTGGACTATAAATGTTGGGGTAGGCTGGTGATAAAGCGTTTGATAATCACGCCAAAAACCAGGTTCGATACACAACCTGGGTACAATGTGAGCAGCCTATTTCTGGTCTGACCCGCCATGATACTGCTGGAATATTGCTAAGGGCGACATAAGACCATAGACTCATATGGACTCTACGTTGTCTCTCACCTTGTTACGCAACGGAGGCGGTGGGGTAGCCTAGTGGTTAAAACGTTGGCTCGTCACGCCGAAGACCCGGGTTCGAATCCCCACATGGGTACAATGTGTGAAGCCCATTTCTGGTGTCCCCCGCTGTGATGTTGCTGGAATATTGCTAAAAGCGGCGTAAAACCAAACTCAGTCAGTCAGTGTTACCCACCATCTGTTAACATCAGCTAATGTTCATTAAATTGTATTTTCAGTGAAAACTGTTCTACATTTACCGATTTAACTAAGTCATGTATCAAGAATGAGCAGAGGGATATGGCCTTGTGTCAGTCTTATACGTATGTTGGGTGGCATTATGAAGAAACTATATAATGTCACGGCTGTATGTACTGATGTCTATTTTTCAGATGATGGCTTATAAACTGTCGATGGGGATTGTCTCCCTTTGCATTTTAGCTTCACTGTTGGAATCAACAATAACTGCCAGACCAAGCGGTGAGTTGAAGTACATGTTAGTGGAGATGTTGTAAACAAAATGTCAAGCTGTTTGGACTCAGAGGTGAGGTGAAATTGGGTTTAACGTCGTGCTTGAGAATATTTCGCTCATATGACGACGTGCATGCGTGTGTATGTGTATGTGCGGCTGCTTGTACTAGCCCAGACTGAAGCTGGTTTTATAGTGCTTGCCCACTGAGATACCATGCCGCAGTGAAGCATGAATACCACTCAGACACATTATACTGACTCCGAGCCGACCAGTCCTTGTTGTACCCTTTAATGCCGAGCGCCAGGCAGGGACCAACAAGTACCCTATTTTAACGTCTTTTGGTATGACGGGGTCGGGGATCGAACCATTTGGACTCAGAACTTCAGAAGCCATGTAAGAGCTTCTCCGAGGGTATGTTATTTTTCATTAGCCCTGCTTCAGCTTGATTCTTGGAAAAAGCTAACTTACAAAGAGACAGACAAACGGTTGGGTTGGCAGATGGTGTAAGCTTCAACGTTAAATCATAGCTTGGAAACAGGTACAGTAATGAAGGGGACATTTGCTTGCCTGCATAAATTTACCCGTTCCCGTTTGAGATATTTGGACCATGTATCATTTATGTATGTGTTAGTGGCGATATTTTAAACAAAATATCAAGGGGTGGTGTGGTAGCCTGATGGTTAAAGCGTTGGCTCGTAACGGCGAAGACCCGGGTTCGAATCCTCACATGGGTACAATGCGTGAAGCCCATTTCTGGTGTCCCCCGCCGTGATGTTGCTGGAAAATTGCTAAAAGCAGCTTAAAAACAAACTCAGTCAGTCAAAATATCAATCTATTTTGACGCCACTGTAACCTGCAGAAACATTGTTCGAACTTTTAAAACTTATAACATACATGTATGTGTTGGTTACATTTTAGGGTCACTGTTGGAATCAAGAATGGCACACAGACCAGACGGTGGGGTTTCATTTAAGAACCTATTAGTGGCGAGAACTTGTTAATACCTAAAAAAAACCACGTCGATGTATGTGTCGATGTCAGTGGATCAAATCCTTGAATATTTCAGTGTCAGTCAGAAGGCGTGGTGTATCAAAATACGCAGTTTTCTACGAGATGGATTCACCTGGTCTGAGGCATACAGATGCAAGAGCAACTGTCAAAGAGTAAGGATGAGAATTACTGAACAATCACTTTGAGAATTCTTATTGATCTTTAAAATGGTTGTTTGAGATGATGGTGTCACAAATGAAGGAAAACATGTTTTATCTGATACTGGATAATATTTTTCCCTAAGATCAATTTTTCGGGTTACTGCATTGCAGCCTAAGATATCGTCACGTATTCATAGAATGGAACATGAATTAGGAAACATTTTAGATCTATCAATCGGTTCCTATGTTCCAGAATACTTACCTTTGGTCTAACTATACTCATGCCAATAATGGTTGTCACCCCCTTCAATTTTTTTAATTGGAGAAGGGGTGTGGGTTGGGGGTGTGAGGTGTGTGTAGGGTTGGGGTGGGGAGGGGGGTGACAACCATTATTGGCATGAGTATATTTTATATGATGATGTAGGCGTTCACCGATGGAATATAACGTTATTAAATTCCTCAGTTCCAGTGTATTGGAGTTCAGAGCTAGAGTTGGGTCCACTGAATTTCATCATGAATCGCAGGAAATTCCAGGAGGGATAAGCATTGTAAACCAGGTATGTGCAACCAGTTGAAAGTAGAAAAATGAGGTAACAGTAACTTTACGTATTCCCGTCAATCCGTACTTGTATAATGTATTATAATGATCAGTCATGTTTAATATTGGTTTCAATTTCCAGAATATCAAAATGGGTGTCTTCGTCGTGACTGTCAGATGTTCGACCGACCCTACTCAATATTTCCAAGAATAATGTGCACGCTGTAACCGATGGATTTTGCCTTTCACACCAACCACGAGAACTACCGGATATTTTCATTGATTGCTTGTTACTTGTTTGTGGATAACTAGACTATACGGTACTATGTGGAGTTTGCCTTTGAAAAAGAAATATAACAAGTTCATGGGTTACTTATAAATCGTTCGTTATTAACTAAAATAGTGTTCACGCTGGAAATGATTTTATATTTCATCAAATGGTTAACAGGAATACCAAATATTTACTGTTCCTCAGCTCATGGATTACCTGTTAATAGTTAATGGAATAAAGAAATAGTGTACACACTGTAGCCGGTGGGTTTTACCTTTCACAACAAGCACGAGTACTACCAAAGAGGGAACATGTTCAGTACAATGCCTTTCTGTTTCTTTCTAGCACAGCAAAAATAACTTAGTTTCCATTCTTGCGGAAACCTAATGGATACTGGGTAATGTAGGTTTCCGCTATGTTTCAGTATCCGGAAACAGACAATGCTTGTTTCCGGATAGTTTACAAAACTGAAACTAACAAATCTAGGTTTCCGTCAGGTTTCTACAACTGAAACTGTCTTTATGAGTTTCCATTTAGTTTCAGGTTGCTGAAACATTCATAGCAAAAACTCTTACTTTCCGTTGTTGCGGAAACCTATTGGATACTGGGTAATGTAGGTTTCAGCTAGGTTTCTGTACCCGGAAACTGACAAGTCTATGGGTTTCAGCTTAGATGAAATGGCAAACTTAGCTTTGTGCTGTTCCATTGGGGGACTATATTTTTTTTACTGTTACACTTGCAAAATAATTTCTATATACAGAATCCAGCTAGGGTCCATGCAGGGAGCAAAAGCAATAAGCCATTTAAATACTGTACTGTTAAAGTGTTTATGGTTATATGCTAGTTTTTAGTGTACATTTGTGATATACTAGTCATTTTACTGTCCTTCGCAGTAGGTTTATATCACCAAACACGGTTACAGCAAGGGAGTAGTAATCGTTGTATTGCATGCAATTTTAATTGCCTACAATATCTTAGGGAACTACGCTTTGTGGTTTTAAAATAATAGGTCATCAAACATCACATTGTTTCTTGATCATATACGATGAACGCATCGGAAAATCTGAAAAAAAGCTTACACTGCTGGAGTACTTTATTACAGGAAATACATCCACCATTCTTATTGTTTCATTGTTTAGGTTGAAGAAATTCTGCCAAGGTGGGCAGCTGCCAAGTCCCTGGGTCCGTCACGGTCGAGGTAGCAGGTGCTGCCCACCTGGCAGTCAGACCACGTACTATAATTGTTGTCCCGAAACCGGAAGCGCTTGATTTGGAATGAATGAGGCCCCGCGAGATGTGACGGACATTGTAAAAACAAACAATTTACATAAACACATGTTGCAGTTATCAGTGTTTTTCTAAACTTGTGAAGGGTGAGCAGACTATTGGCATGTTTACAATAGAATTGAAAAAAATATAATTGAGTACCCATAAGTCTTTGTTTGAAATGCCGCCATCTTTGTTCAAACGTACACGCGCGAGATTGGAAAAAACTTGTTGTTTTGAAGTAAGTCTATGAGAGTAACTTGTTTGAGTGGCATTTTAGAAGTTGAGACGTACAATATAGAACAAGTTTTATGGATAACAACTTCTTTATTTCGTGAGTGCGACGTTTCGATACAGATTCTTGTACCGTTGTCAAGCAAGAGTGATACATGAAGTGTAGGAGCTGCATATATATACTGTATATAACAATGAAACAACATAATAGACAAAGGAAACAACATAATTGCCATGATTGGCTAAGCAGTAAGCTGAAGAAGCCAGTGAGTACACAAAGGATAGTGAATGGAAGCCAGAGATGTAGTTACAATGAGATGTTTGAACAATAGATGCGATGTTTATACAATAGATTGGGCTTGGTGGAGGAGTGGATCATAAGCTGATGGAATGAAGTATCCTTGGTCACGGTTGATGGTGGGCTTGTGGCGTTTGATGTGAATGGCTTCTGTGAGCTTGCGTTTAGTGAAGTCCGTTTGGTTGTTGGCGAGAATGGTGATGTCGGACCACTCTATTTGATGATTGGGGTTAGCTTTGATGTGGTCAGAGATAGCTGACTTGGTGTCGGAATTAGCAACAGAGGTGCGATGTTCTTTGACTCGGGTGTTGATGGGTCGGGATGTTTCACCTATGTAGCATTGTCCACAATCACAGTTTATTTTGTAAATAACACATTTCGGGTTGTTGTTGTTGACGGTGGGTTGTTTTCTTCCGACCCATCAACACCCGAGTCAAAGAACATCGCACCTCTGTTGCTAATTCCGACACCAAGTCAGCTATCTCTGACCACATCAAAGCTAACCCCAATCATCAAATAGAGTGGTCCGACATCACCATTCTCGCCAACAACCAAACGGACTTCACTAAACGCAAGCTCACAGAAGCCATTCACATCAAACGCCACAAGCCCACCATCAACCGTGACCAAGGATACTTCATTCCATCAGCTTATGATCCACTCCTCCACCAAGCCCAATCTATTGTATAAACATCGCATCTATTGTTCAAACATCTCATTGTAACTACATCTCTGGCTTCCATTCACTATCCTTTGTGTACTCACTGGCTTCTTCAGCTTACTGCTTAGCCAATCATGGCAATTATGTTGTTTCCTTTGTCTATTATGTTGTTTCATTGTTATAAACAGTATATATATGCAGCTCCTACACTTCATGTATCACTCTTGCTTGACAACGGTACAAGAATCTGTATCGAAACGTCGCACTCACGAAATAAAGAAGTTGTTATCCATAAAACTTGTTCTATATTGTCTATGAGAGTAATGTAGTGGAAATGGCAGTCTGTAAAGTTGCTATAGTTTTCTTGACACATTGCAACATAATTGACAGTCGAAGCTTTGGAAACAAGGTTCCGGGAACTTGAGCGATCTCAACGGAAACCCAGGACAGAGAAATTAGCAGTACCCCGCCCTTGTCAGGTAGGTTTCAGATGAAATGCGTTATGTTCTTCTTATCATAGCAGTCAGTTTGGATCGAATTAAACGTTTTCGGTAGGAACCTTTATCTTACAGTAACGGTGCGCTCGCAT